TGGTGCCATTAGAGCTCATCGAATTCGTCACGAACTGGATCCAAATTGAAGTGTGGATGTGCATAGAGATACCACACACACTCACACGTACACCCACACAAAAAGCATGACCCACCGACTCGAGCAAAAAATTTCCTTGGACTGAACCAGGCGCTGAGAGTTTCTTGATGTGTTTGATTCTCAGTGACTCTACTCGAGTTATTCACAAGTAGCTACTATAGATTCGCTGTTAATCTCGTGAAAAAAAACAGTTTTACTGTTCGTGTTTAAAGATGAGTGTTCATGTTGAGTCGAGAATAATTCATGAGCACAATTTATTTGTCACTCAGTTTGATTTCGAATGGACGTTTGTCTCGCATGATAGTCGAGACTTTGAAAACAGCATTAGGTAAAATGAATACTTCTTCCTCATGTTTGAATTCAGATATCGAAGAAATATTCAATGCACTGCTATTACGCGTGACCCAAGATTTTGTTATCAAAGGTATGTTGTTCGATTTTGGTACACGAATAAATTTTTCAGAGACAGTCCGATCTTTCGATGTTGAGAGAAACGCTTTATTGACAACCCAATCTCGAATTTTGTATTCATTGAGATCCTCTTCAATGACCATCATTCCACGATAAGTGATATCTTTCCATCCGAACTTCGCATATTGTGGGCTGGTATCGATGGTAGCCGCATATTGCACGTACCATCGATCTCTATCTTCTGTGGTATCTTTTCGAAAAGGTAACTGAGCGAGAAAACGGTTGAGACAACGATAAAAATCCGTCTCAGCTGTATACACTTGTATCAGAATCGATGCATCGTTTTGTCTGCATGCTTCTTTCAAAAAACAGCGTATCACATTCATACCTTTTGCATCTTGTAGTTTGGACGCTGCACATACAATTGTCGACGCTTCATTCAAATTTTCAAATGGCTTTGTGTACATTATATTTACCAGACTAATTTCTCGTACATCGATCGTACTTTTTACCCATTCGAAATGAAGAGATTCAGCCGTGAAACGTTGATTTTTTTTCCTGTCAGACTCTTGAAAAAATGTTTGATCTCAGGTGTCGATGCTTCATCAGCAGAAGACAGATTATACTTGTTTAGCTGTTGACGACAAGCTCCTTTATTGAGCAAAAGTTGAACAATGTCGTTGTGACCATAATAAGAAACAGTATGGAGAGCAATTGAATCGTTTGATTCTTGACAATTGATGTCGTTAAGTGAAAGCGACGCACGGAGCGTCTGAAAAGTTGAAATATCCCCATTTCGGCAGGCTTTGTATAATTCACTGAACTCACTCATTTTTTACTGTTTCAAATCTCGCATAATGTTGTTGGTATGAAGTATCAGAAAATGTGCTTTGCTTTCGTTGCCAATTGCAGCTTCTTCGTTTGTTCTCGCTGTCGAAGAATTATAACAAAAGTATCTAAACAAAACATACGTCACAGCAACTTTTTCCACGACTTTTCTTCAATTGAATTTTACTTTTGAAATTGACAATTTGTAAAATGCATTTCGTAAACGACGGATGGATCTACCGTCAAGATAAACCAAGCAACACGCAAAGCTTGGGGATGTGGATGTGGAAATTTAATAATCATGTTTGAAATTCTACTGAAGAGAAGCAAAGAATGCCGTATGACAATGCTGAAACAATGAGTTGGTATAGGTATGCGAGTTGCTCTCGGTGCTCTTGCAGTGATAGATATGGTCGTGGATAGCTGTGCTGAAGTGGGCCTAAGTCGCAGTTCTTGAGAGTCAATATGTGAATATGGGTCCGCAAAGAAATCACTTATAGGCTTCTGTACTCAAGAATCCACATGCATTCTATGAATATGTAACGATAAAACAATATCTGTCCTTGTGTTTTTTTGTGTCATATACGTCTTCTTACAAATGATGTGCACTATTTTTGCTATTCTGCATAGCGAATGCAAACGCTTTACAGATATATTCTGATACTTCCGGCGCGAAAACCACTCTGAGTACAATTGAATGGAGATTCTTCGAAAGTATATTAATGATGAGCTGGTGTTAATGAAAATATGTGATGATCCGAGTGAGCGACATGATGTAGATATGGGTGTGTGTTGCAGTGTGGTCATCTCTGTAAATCTTGGAGAATGTTGTGATGTGAATGTGTTTGTGTCGATGTTAGTGTGGATGTAGACAATGCTTTGAGTTTGAATGTTGGTGAAGATGTGTGATATTGTTTGGATGTGGTTGTGATTGTAGATCTCTCTGTTTGTCGGTGTGTATAATTTTTTGTGTGGTTTTTGAAGTGTGGAAGTAGTATGTATCGCTGTCGGCGTTGGTATGAATGTAGGCTTGATTATCAATCCGCGTGCGAGAAACTTAATAAATGGTTTTTTTTCACGCCCATACTCAGATACAGACCAGAAACACATTCAAAATCATATTTATACTCTCACATTCAAATGCTCATACATTGTCAATGTCAACAAGAAGGGTGGGTGTCTGTAGGTGTCCCCTTCAATACCATTCACATCACTTATTTTTGTAAGATTAATGGTAACAACTATCACTTCAAGTAAGCATAATTATAGAATTTTCTAGAAATTAATATCTCATGGGTTTTCTTGTTTATACAAGCTTCAAGCAACAGATTTAATTGTAGAATAGAGAATGTATTCAGAGCTTCGGCCATCAATTTACCAACATCCACGCCCATCTGAAGAATGACTCAGAACTTATTCGTTCTACTCTTGTCGCCCAATAATTTCAATTGGACTATTCTATTTGGATGTTTACTATCATATGAATACATATTCTTTGCTGCCCTATGTTGCAAAACCGTTGTACTATACACAAATTGTCGACAGAGTGATCTATCCACTCATTTCATAGTTGAGCACTTGTTGGACAATTGTACCAACATCTATGAGTATAATAGGTTCATGATTGGAATTGATTGTTTCGACATTCATCGTCATCATTGCTTGGTAAAATTCGTTTGTCTACCTAATTGGCTGATACCGCACACGATTCTTTAACACTCTTTATGGTTTGATTCTTGGCCACAGTCATAGGTATCTATGCACGAATTAAGATTGGTAATTCCATTAAAATAGAGTGACCGAATGACAAAGACATGCTTTATTTTAGCATAACTGTACAATTCGCCGTCATGTTCAGCACTCTTTCTATTCTGAGGATGAGAATGAATGTGGAAAGAATACCCACACCCTTCAATCCTGAATATGCCATTATATCCTGTGGAAATCAATTGATTGTCAATTTCGCGACACTCCCGTTAGACGGTCATATCCTTAGTTTGCTGCCAAGCAGCTAGCCAAATAACAGATGTCTGGCCTTTAGGGTGTGAGTCTCAGTGAAAGATGGTACATGCTCAGTACCACAATGTCAGATGTTATCTTTTTTATGATAATACTAGAAAATGATGACTGAATTATTTTACTATCTACTTTGCTCTTGCGACACAAAATACAGTGTAGTAGATAGTCGGAGAATGACAATTTTGAAATATACAAAGTATTCATTTAAGGGGAAACCCCCGTCAGAAAGTCGATTTTTCTTGGAAACTTCGATTTTTCAAAAAGCACATATTCTGAGAGCCCAGAATGTCCTCTTCAAAAAATATATAACTTTCATATAAATGGAACACATTTAGCCCCGTTTGGCGCATTTATTGGAAGACACAGAGGAATATGGTATGTTTGAGCGACTTTGCCTTAGTTATCAAAAACCATGCAATATTGTTTCTTTTTGTTTCTTTACACTCAAAAACAATTTTCATGTCAAATAATCATGTCCTGAACCTACCTGGGTGGTTTTACTAACGTTTTGTAGTTTCAAAACAACGCCAATTCCCGAAAAGGTGGCGCCACAGTAAACTTGAATTGGAAACTTTGCTTTATTTTCTGTCGAAAATACTATAAAATGGAAGAAATTGTTATGCGAATTTCAAAAATGTATAACATGCTATAAATTTCTTTACAGCCTCACTGCCAATCACTTCACGATGTTGTTATTCGTTTTTCTCAGCTTCACTTTTTTACCGTGTACTGACCACTTCGGAATATTTTCCCAGTCCACCGTTCGACGTACGCCATCCATTCTTTTTTTGTTCGAAGGATCAGACTTTTATCTACAAATTGCAGGGACAGATTTCTAAAATATGTCTCCGTTCTTGAGATATTTGAAAATCTTCGAAAAAGCTCAAATCTGTTTTTGGGATTTTCATTTTAAAACGATCACTACAATTTAACGAAGACGAATTTCAAAAATCTATTCCTATAATCTGTAGATAAAACAGTCTTTTCTTCATTTTGAAATATTCCTGACAATCATCCATGCTGCCGCACACCGGGAAAATGTTCCGGAGCAAAAGCCCCGTTTTTAACAGTAAATTGTATATAACTCCTCAATCATGACAATTGATTGGTTCAAACTTTTATGATATGCTAGTTACGCTACTTCTTCTATTTCCTGAAAGTTTCATGCAAATCGGTTGTACCGTTTAGAAGATAGGTTTCTAAGGGGGGATCCCCTTAAAAAGACAGATATGCGTCCATATCACTAATATTTTCCAAACCTCCTTTTTGAGAGATGACACCTCTCTAGAATAGTACCATTTGGTGCACTATACAGTTCTGTATTCAGTACAACAAACTAGAGAGCCAGCGTAACTTCGAGAACGAATGTAGGTAAGTAATATTCAAGAAGCAATAAATGATCAGTTACTCGAAAACAACGAAAACCTATGCGTATGCAACCATTGTTTAACATACACTCTTTTTTCCTTAATACTTTCATTATTCCAGTTTTCAATTAAAGCTTGTTTGTTTTACTTTCTTGATTCATATAATAGAAATATTTTTTCGTTCGGGTTTATTAAAGCGCACAGGCAGACAATGAAAAATGAAAAAAAACGAAAAAGAAAAAGAAAAAGGAAGAAGAACTTAATAATATATGCTTGCTTCTCTGTACAAACAAACGAGAGGAGAAAAGAAAATGTTCAAGATAATAGAAACGCATATTGACCATCTCGTATCGCTGTTGTTAGTTTCAATTTCATTATTTCTTTTGATGAATAATCTGGCAATTTGAGATAGTTGACACAGGTCATTACACTTGGTAAAAAGGAATCCGAATTGGTATTATCACTATTATTTTCAGCTGTTTTTCGAACAATTGTCAATGGAGGATGAAGCATTCGAAAACCTATTTAGAAAAAGAAAAGTATAAAACTAAACTGAAAAGCAAAAGAAACATATCAATTCATGTTTTTTATATTGATCATAAAACGACTGTGACAAATCAATGTATCACTATTCAACATCCTTGATATCAAAAGAATCTGACGCTAGTTGTTCTCCTCCTTTCTCTACTGCTATAGAGAATATACTAATTTCGAAACATCAAGAAAAGACTATTTGTTTACATTCAAAGTAGACTGAGAAACATCTTTAAATTAATTAATAATATTATAATTCTTTCTCTCAGTGATATAGAAAGACAATGATGATATCTTAGAACTATCGATCATATAAATTGATATTTATTAAGAAAAAAAAAGGACTTTCTTACCTCCAACAGGTAATCGTGGACTACCAGTAACAAATTGTAAAAATGCTCTTTGTTCATCAATATCAAAATTAACCATTATATCAAAAAGCCATTTAACTGCTCGACTGTTCAAATTATATCCATGATCACAACGTGTTGATTCAAGTAAAACTTTAAGATCCCATAATTCTGTTGAACCGCTACCGCAAAATACTTGATGAAGCTATATTTAAAAGAAAAGGAAAGAATTATTGATATGAAAAAAAAAAGAACTATTTTATATACTTCATCGGGATAAAAACATTTCAAATGGCTAATAGGAAATATTGAATTAAATCCATCACGAAATGATTCAAATTGACGTCGAACACCTTCAACTAATGTCCAATAGACAACCAACTAAAAACAAAAATAAAAATTTTTAGTTTTAGTTTTAGTTTTGTTTTTGAAATTTTACATTTATATATTGATCAAGATTTTGTATTGTAACTGAACAATCTTTTCCACCTTTTTTCAATTCAATATTTGGATAACCAGGTAATGTAAATACAAGTGATAAATCATCTATTTTACAACCATCAAGTAATAATCTTGAATCATTTTCATCAAATATATTTGAATATGTGACATGTTCTAATGGTGAATCATCTTTTGATTTTAAACGTTTTTTATTATTTAATTTATTTATTGTTATTTGTTGATTTGTTTGTTGATTTTGTATCATTATTTTATCACGTATTAATACAATTGTTTGTAATTTTTTAAATTGTTCATATAAATTTGTATCTATATGAATAAGATCTTCAAGATTTAAACTTTCTTCTTCTCCTAACATCCATTTATAAAAAATAACACTAAATGGCATATCAATCTACAAAAAAAAAAAAACGATTTTTGAGATTTTATATTTCAAAAAAAATATTTACCATTCTTGAATCCATTAATGCTTTAGCCATAAATTTTCCAAGAAATTTAAATTTTTGACGAACTTTTGTAATTACATTTGCTTTTGCATTACGACCTAATGGTGCAGGATAAAGACCATGACGTGTATCGACATATTCAGGCATTGGTATATCTTTATCTATAGACAAAAAATCTATATTCAATAAACGATTTTTGAATATTTCGTATTGGATAGAAATCTCATTTCATTTTTCCGGCTAATTTCAAATATAAAATGTTATTAAAAGACAATTATTAGTGGTAATTTTAGATAGATGATCAATCTGAATTAAACTGTGTACTATCAACTGGATAATCCATAAATATATTTTCGATAAAAAATGTAATTATTTCCGATATATATCAACAACTCACACCCTTCTATGATGACATTCAAAAGACAAACCTTTATGTGAATCAAAAATTTTATCTGTTCTCCATAGTTCTAAACCATTTTTCTGTAATTCTTTTGATAATAATGAATATGCTTCTAATGTTGGACCAAGACCAAAACCAACCTAAATAAAAAAAACATTCAAATAATTTCATATGAATTTTAAAATAATAATTTTTTACTTCATCTTCATATTGAACTTCTAAAAATTGTTTTGAATTCCAATTATCAAGAATTTTTTCCATTTCAGAAAGTATATTTCCTCGTGATAATTTAACTTTTTTTCTTTCAATTCTTGGTACAACTGATTGTCTATCATTTTGATCATTATTATGTTGTTGTGTTAACATATCTGAACTATCTAAAAGTCTTTGCATTGCACGTTCACGATCGAATGCACATGGATAAAAAATCATTTGACGTGTTTCAAATGGAAATAAAAATGAACATGTATAACCCATTTCAGTTATCCATGATGGTATACGTCCCATCATAATAACAATTGGATCTTGTAATTGTCTATTTACTTTTGATGTTAATTTAGTTGACAAATATTCATTTTTTGATGTTAATGTTAAAGATAAATTATGATGATTTAACATTGTATTTGTATGATAATATAGATCATACCAATAAAGATTTAAACTATTTAATATATGAAGTAATGATATAGCATTTAATGATAAATCATTTATTGTTAATATTGATGATAGAGATTCATCTAAAGTTGATATTAATAAAGATTTAGATTTTGAACATTGACCATTTATCCATAATTCATCAATTGTTGTTGGTATAGGTGAACGTTTTGTAGTTTTACTTGGTTTTTTCGAAGATTTTGATGATGAACTTTGTGTATTAGCTGTTGCTGTTGTTTGTCGTAAACGATTTGATGACGTTGTTGTACTAGCAGCACCAATAGCTGTACTAACAGCTGGTACTGTTGATGAAGAGTTTGTTAATTGACGATAATGAATTGTATGTACATGTGTCCATATATTAGATGATGATACTACTGATTCATCAGTATCAGTTTCCGATTCACCATCACTAGAAACAAATATGAACGTTTTTTTTTTCATTAACTGATAGGAACCAGGGATGTGCACGGGGGCTATGAGACATTACGTAATGTCGCGTGCACATCTCTAATAGGAACTGGTCTTCTTGCATTATATCTTATATTTTGTTACATATATACATAAGACAATAAGATGAAATAAAATTATAATTAAATTTTATTTTACAAGAGTTTTCTGATAAATTTAGAAACATCGAAATCGACTGTTGTCTGTCAGATGTTTTTGCATGTGTTAATACAAAAGACGTAAATTGTTTGTTTTGCGAATGTTTATCTTCTTATGTCATTAGGCCTTATTAATATAGGATAAAAGCTATTCATATATAGTTCGTAAGAGAAGAACGTTTTCCCTATCAGCTGATGATAAGTTATCGTTCCAGCATAAGTTTATCAGAAAGTCATAAGGGTTGATATTTTGTATGCTATAAAAAAAAATAGGGGCTTGTTCTAGGCATACTCATCGTCTCTATTACGTCATTTCGTTTAGAAATATTTGTAAAAAAAAAAAAAGCAAGTTATATAGATTTAAGAAAAATTTTCTACGTACTTAGTTCTTTGTGTGGGTGTACTATACAGTCGAACAGCTTGATATAAAGTCATATTATTTGGTATAATATGATCATTAATTAAAAATTCAAGTCTCATTGTTGATGAATGTGTAAGAACATTAATAACATCTTCGGCATCAGATTCATTGGATACTTCACTTTCTTCATCATCAACTATACCAGATGAATCATCCTATAGAATAGAAGAAATAAATAATAAACATATTTATCATAAGATTATTAATATTAATTTACATTTGTACTACTAGCTACACCACGTAAAAGTAAATATTTTTCAATAGTTGATACAAGTGCAAATGGATCGATTTTCACCGGACTACTATTCCATTGTTTTAATGTTTTACATTGTGGATGTCGAATAAGACTACATTTAAGTTGATGAGTTGATATTAATCGAAGAGCTGAACTATGAACAGATCGACCAGTAACATCATTAACTAATAAAAAAACAAAAACAAAAAGACAAGATTATCTATTTCATATTGCTATTGCTAATCATAAAGAGATTATTTTATTCTATCTATTTTAAATAAAAATTTTTAAAGCCTTAATAAGATTCAAAAGTCATTATTTTCTGATAATTATTTTATTACTTTCAATAAACTTCTTTTATAAGATTCAATTTACCTCTAATAGGAAACTGTTCAAGTTGATTAATACATCCATGTAATTTACAAATTAAATGACTTAAAATATTTTGATTAGATTTTCCATTATTTAATTGTGTATGATAAAGATCAATAATAAAATGTTTTAAATCTTTTTCATTATCATTTGTATTCTCATATGGTATATTCATAAATATATTTAAAAATAATTTTAATCTATCTAATCGATCATTTGGTAATGATGTATGATCAGTTAAATATTGAAATAATTTTGTTATTAAACCACTATGTACCATTTCAAATGGTGTTACATCACCTTTAGCTATTATATTTGATATATCACGTAATGCTTTTGTATTTTCTATATGATCTTTTCCAATATGTAATATATCAACAGCTGATGCTAAACGATTTATTATTTGTAAAGCTATATTTGATGTTGAAGAATTATTTGAAAAATAATTTGTACGAAAATTTTGTGCTTGATTATGTATCCATTCTTTGAGTTTTGCTTTTTCTTGTGTTGTTAATGTTATTTGAGATTGTTGTCGAGATGATAAACTAGTTAATGAAGCTGCAGCTGGTGCACTTGTTGCATATGTATATGCATGTTGTTGTAAATAAGGTGATGGTACATAAATAGGTGTAGTTGGATGAGATCGATTATTTGTTGTTAATCCATAATTTGATGACGGATCAAAAGTTGATGGACGAAATAAACCTGAATTCGTAGCCCCACTACGTATTGAACGACCACGACCAATAGGTATTGATGATGATGTTGATGCCTCCGGAGGTGATGTTGATGATGCCATTTCATCAAATACTGAATGTAATGATGGTTTAGTACGAGAACTTGATGATGTTGGAGGTATACGTGAACGTTGTGAACGTGTTTCAACTTTGGTTGTAGTTGATTCTGTTTGATGACGACGAGATGATGTTGTTGTTCGATATGGAAATGCTTGAGGTTTTGATGTTGATGAAGAATCATTATTATATGAATGAATTTGTTGATCATCTAAAACGAAATAAAAAAAATAAAATAAATGAAAATGAAAATGAAAAAAACAATTGTTTGTTTTTACCAAAAGATTCACCAAGTCCAGGAATGGTTGGTGTTGAAGAAGGTTCATTCATATGAACAAGATTAAGTTCACTTTGACTTGTTGTTGTATGATGTGTATGTGATATTGGTAAATTTGTTGATGATGTTATACCAAATCCAATAAGAATTTCAATTTGATGTACAACACCTTCACGATAAAAATATACAGAAAATATATCAGGTAATTTTTTCATTAAAATTTCTGATATTTGTAATGCACCAATAACAATTTTATAATCACATGATGCAAGCATTGATGATATATTTGATGATATAGATTGTTGTTTTAAAATTGTTTCAAGTAAATCAGATGATGAATAATATATCATACGAAGTATTGTTTGTAAACAACGATGTTTTACAGCTGGTCCAGCTGATGTATTATAAACTTCATATAGAATAGGAAATAATGATTGTACAAATGAATTATATAATTCAATATTATCTTTTAATATTTCTGTTCGAACATCAATTGTATTATTTATTGTTGTTGTTGTTGGTTGAGGTGATACATTATTTGTTGATTCATCTGTTGATAATGAAGGAGGTGATATTGTTGTTTCTATAGGATTAGGTGAACCTGGTGTAACAATACGTTTAATAAAACGTGCTTGATTTGTTTCTTCATTGATTTGTTGTAATTGTTGTAAATCAAGAAGATAATTTCGTCCAGATATAACTAATTGAACTTCTTCTTCATGCTGTTGCCAAGCATGTTCGATTGTTCGAGAATCTTGAAATGTATATGGACGTAATTGACCTAAATGAATAAAATTAGATGTTTTTTGGAAGTTTTATAAGAAGTTCTTTTTTTTTTGCTGAGATATATCAATTTTATATTCGAGGTCAAAAAATGGTTTCTCTACAAATAAATAAGAAAAAAAAATACTATTTTAGAGGCTTCCATAATATTGTTGCATCTTTAATATATAATCCTACAGAGAACGATTTGTTCTATCTAAAAAAATTTTATTCTAAGTACTAATAGCCTACGTGTTACAGTTTTCTCAAATTTCTATCTTTGAAAATTTAAAAAATTTTTGAATTTTATTTTAAACTAAAATTTTAAATCTTCGAAAACAAACCTTGATCATCTTGCCAATGCCATAAAACATAACCATTAGCATTAGCATCATATCCTCTACCAGCTCGAAATAATTGATCAACTTGAAATAATGGATCATCAATAGGTAATTTTGGCATTATTTCTCCAATTAATGAAACAATTTCATATAATTCTTGTGGTGTACGTGATATAAGTTCAATATTATTTATTTGTTGTATTGTTGTCATATTTGTTATTGTTTCATTTATTGATGATAAAGCAGCAGATTTATATGTTATAGATTTTTTTGTTATAATTTTACCTTCAACTGAACCCGTTAAAAGACATATTAATGTTTCTGCTATATTCATTTTAAGTAATGTAACAGCAAGTATTGGACAATAAGCCGAAAAAATATAAAGCATATGAATAATACTAACAAATGTTATACTATTTATTAATGATGGTTGTACAATAATCATTGTTTGCATTGTTTTAAGTAATTCTTGTGATGCTATTTCACATAATATTGTTGAATCACGATAAAAATTTTCTACTAAACGTGTAAATATTGAACAAATATGTTCAATAGTTTTTTTATCATCCGAACGTAAACGATTCGATAAATTTTCTAAATGTTCACGAATATATTTAAAATCATTGGATGTGACAATATGTATACAACAATTGGCAACTATAGATAATGCTTTATGTTGAGATGTTATAGAAAAAAAATCAATATATTCAAGACATGCACCAATACCATCCTATAAAATATTTCAAAAAAAAAATTATTTTGATTTTTGTTTTTTTTTTGCAAACTTACAGATATAAGAATTTGTTTTGCATTTCGTTTTGCTATCATATCTAATGCTGTTAATGCTTGTTCAGCTATATCAATTGATGTTATACTTCGTAGCTAAAATAACAACAAAATTAAACAAAAGGTAATGATTAAAAATTATCTAAATTTTTTTCTACTCTAAAAATATTGTAGAATGAAAGGATCTCATTAGTAGAATCCGTCGAAGTCTAACCGATAGTATACAACTATCTTAATGTTTATTCATTAAGATATGTTTAATGGTTCTTTTGTGTAACAATAAAATATCATAAGACTTCATATAAAAACAAGGAATAGTACAATAAGGACTCATCCATAGTCAATATGCATTCTTGGACTTCTTCATGTACGTTCAGTCGTTTGAAAAAAAACAAAAATGAATACAAATGAACAACAGAACGCAATAGATTATTATATAATAAATCTATCCTGAAACGTAATTAACTTCTATTATATTTTTTGATAAAGTATTTGGTTCGATAAGATCTTAATGAATACTTGTATATTATTGAGATGCTTTCATTTTACAATGTTTATAGGATAGGAAGAAATTAATGATTTTATGATTAAATTATTTTACTTTATTTAAAAATATTGGTGTAGCTTCAACAACTTGAATAGCTGAACGTGGTAATGCTTCCATAAGATATGTTAATGCTCGACATGCTGTCAAAGCTATTTCAGCATTTGCTTCATTTTCATCTGCTAAACAATCACGTAATGGTGGATACAATGCACGAAATTGAAATCCTGGTAATGTATCTTCATTACTCATAACAAGAAACTTTAATAAAATAAAAACAAAAAAAAAAATCTTTGTTTTTCTTCGTCTTCTATTATCTAACTTACAGAACATAATTCATTAAGTGTTGTTAATTTAACATCAGGATCGGATGACTAAAAATTAAAAAAAATTAAAAAAACAATATATTACTTTTTCATATATATATTAAATTTCTAATTAATTTACTTGTAATCCTTGGATATATTGTTGTAAACGTCCATTAATTGGACTTCCGCCTCCAACTCTACTCATTAAATGTTGAACACGACCCGATAATGTATGAAATAATGCTGCACTTGCTGAACCACTACTTGCAGCACTACGAGCAAAACTTGTATCATTTAGAATATCACGTGCTGTTGGACTATTATCTGGATCGGTATCACTTTCAGTCGACATTTGTAGGGATTGTTTTATAGTTCGATGTGTACTGCTAGCAACAAATGGAGATGTTGATGATGTTGTTGGTACAATACCAGAATATGTTTGTGCTGATGATGATGACGGCGGAGGAGATGAAGAATTTTGATGATAATATGTTGAAGAATTAAATAAATGTAAAGGATTATTTGGAGATGTAACACCGGTATTATTTGTATGACACGATCGGCTATCTGTACCGGTGATATTGGTGACAGGTACCGATGAATGACTAAAAAATTATAATACAAAACAATTTATTCTTTGTCTTATAAATCGAAAAGGTCAGTAAGATCATCGTCACATGGCAAGAGAAAACATATTTACACACATACACAATAGTAAAAGAAGAGAAAAAGAAAAAAATAGAATGATGTCCTTAGTTGAAGAAATACTAGAAAAAATAGTATTGAATTTTCATGCTTGTATTATGTAATTACCTCAAATTTTATTATTAGATTTTAACTAGATTTTTAGTAAACTTTCATGGGAAGTATCACATTTAATGTAGTTACTGATCAATAGTTGTCGCCAACAAACTTTGATGTTGATTATTGTGTCATGTTTTTTTTCTCTCCTTTTCTACACGAAGCCAGAAAGAGAAGAATGGCTTTTTTTTTCTTCTATTTTTCTTTCCTTATATGTATGGGTGCAATTACGCGAGTACGAACAGACGTCTTTAGTCGCACATCTGTACACCGTAGTAACAAAACATTAGCTTGCGAAATTATTTTTTAGCATTCAAAAAAAAAAACAAAATTAATAAATAAAAAAAAATCAGCACATTATACTTTCATACCTAGAAGACGATTGACCCGTTGTCAAATAATCAATATAAGATTTCGTTGTATAACGACGTGATCGACGATTATTACTAGTTGAAGGATCACTTACAACTGTACTTTGTTCTCGTCCGCCTATTTTATATGTAAATAAATAAACAAAAGAAAAGTTAATTTAGCTTTTGTTTTCTTGAATAAATTTCTTTTTTTTTTTTTTGTGTTTCACCTGTTCTTCGTCTAACACAAAGGTTCCCCGTATCTGTACTTTCACTTTGTTTTTCCGAATCACTTTGTTTTCGTCGATTATGATGAGAGAAAATAGGTGCAGAATTTCTTTTCGGTTTGGTTTTATTATCGTCTTCTTCTTCTTCTTCTTCTTCAGACGATGATTGTCGTTGACGTTTCAATGTTTTTATATTGGATAATTTTTCACTTTGTCTTTTACGACGTCTTATAGTACTTGTTGCATGAACAATACTATGACGAGATGATGATGTTCGTTTTCTATTATCTTCTTGATCTTCGTTTAAATCAGAATCAGTTTCTATTCGACGTTTATTATTGCTAATTGAAAGGGCTTCAAGTGCTTTAGATTTTGCTTGACGTGCTGTTGTTGTTGTTGGTTGTTGTTGTTCTTCTTCTTCTAGAATAGCACACAAATTTTTTTTTTTTTTTGATAAGAATAAAACAAAAAAAGAGTTTTACCTTCTATATTTAATTCGTTTGTTGTTGATTTTCGTTCAGCACTAGTTAAATATAATTTCCATAGAAAATTATTTAAAAAAAAAAAAAAGTAAAATAAAAATATTAACATACGTTAATAATCTTAATGATCGTCTAGTCGAAGAGCTCGAATTGTTTTGTATTTGGGCCATTCGAGACGATGTTGGACATTCGAAAGAATAAACTATTATTATTATTATTTCGAGACATTGAACATACTAGATATCGATCAAGAGTTCAATATAATAAGGAAAAATAAATAAATAAACCCAATGAAAAACGATGAAAATAAATTTTCCAAACGAAAGTAATATTGTTATTTTTGTTTAAATGTATGGCAAAATATTGGAAAAAACCTGAAACAATATATACGTGTTTTTTTTTTTGTCTTTTGTAATCTAGAAATAAAAGAAAATGATAAAAGAAAATTTTTATTACTCAAATAAGAAAGAAATAGAAATAAAAAATGAACAATATGACCGATGCATGAGAGACAAGTATCAATTCAAATACCCTATTGGATGATTATTATATGTGCATTGATTTAAGTTGAATATGCATTTTAATCAGCTGATTTATATGTTTGTAAATATTCACATGAAGAATATTACGAATTTTGTTTTCGTTGATAAATAAAATTCTTTTTCGTTTTATATAGTTCGAAAAAAATATGTTTTTTCCGATATGAGTCATCAGTTATTATTTGCAAAAGTTTAATTTCTAAAATGCAATACTATTATCTGATTTTTATAAAAAAAAAATAATAATTTTTTTTTTTCATGTTGAAAAATATTCTTTTCCTATTCTTGATTAAATATTTAATTTCTTAATAATAATACAACAAAAAAAAAATCAAAAATATCTAATTATTTATTGACAAATTTTTGCTTGAAAATATTTTTGTGTACTCAATTTTTTCGAAAGTGTATGCATATTTCGAGTAATTTCATATAACAAACCTGTTATTGTTGCAATTCGTGAAAAAATTCTTCAATGAACTTACGTATGATTACTTTGCTAAGACTACCTCTTCCAGAGCAATCTATAGACTAAAAATAGGATGTTTTTTTTTTTTGTTGGAATGAATCATCTTAATGTTTTTATATTGATTAATGAAACGCGAATCATCACTGTCCAAATAGAAAGCGATATGTTATCGCAAAATAGAAGCATCATATTTTGAAAAATGAAATACATAGAATGATGTACACAAAGAAAGCTAAGCAATAAGAAAAATGATATACTAAAAAATATACTGTAACCGTCAGGAAAAGAATCTATTAAAGTTAAACGAAACTTTAATAGATTCTTTCATGAAGATTTGAAGTTTATTTTTTTTTTATTTTCGAAAAAATACAGAGAAATTTCTTAAGGTGCTATCCATTCAAACTGTTAACAAAAAATTTTCTTTTGTTATGTTTGCATATAACTCATCGATTTAATTGTAAAAATATTATTTTTAACGTATTCAAACGATGGTTCTTTAGTAAAGCTTAAAAAAATTGAAATATGTCCAAAGTATCAAAATCTCGATAGTCTCAATATTTTCGCAAAATGTGTTTTTTATTGTACTTACCATACGACGGACAATGTTTTTGAAAAAAAAAACATGCGGTTGATTGCGGTTTCAATGAAACGCAGACGCTAAACCGTGTATGAATCTATACACACGATTCAAACTCACAGTGCATGAATAACAACACGGTAAGAACTAAAAAAAGACAGCGGTTTAAATTACAAAAAACTTTACGTCGGAATACAGCTGTCTCTGTTCTTATTGGTATGCATAGATGGATCCACGGGTCCGACATTCACGGTTCATTAAAATTGCGGTTTTGTTGGAAAATTTTTTCTATGAAATATACTTTTAAAAAAATTGTGCATACTTTTTGAAAAGTATTGTTTGATTCTTAAGAGAATTCGATCTTTTTGACTGAATAGCAAAACACTATAAATATGACTTTGTATAGGTCGAAGTTGGATGATAATTAGTTTTAAATTTTAGTTATATTATTTAATGTAGATTGTTCTACGGAGCCATTTTGATCTGAGGTTCTGATGATCAACATCTTAGAATACAAATCTGTATTTATTGTCGTGTAATATCATATCGAATAAACGATTTCATAAAGTATAAAATAATGTATTTTTAAAAAAGCATGCAATTTTTTTTTCTACCTATGTGACGAGTAAAATCAAAAAAAGAGAATGCGGATCAATATTGATACTACTGGTACTTGATATTTTGACGTATATCAATTTTTATTAGCGGTTTTTGACTTTTTATAGCTAAGTTTCATTACAAAAACATCGTTCGAAGAATATGTTTAGAGATAACTTGAGAAACTATATTAAAATCTTGAGAAAAAAATGCCAAAAAAATGTGTGCTAAAATTTCAAATTGTTAACGCCTGAAATGGATTCAATATCTTTTGAATTTGGTATTGATGATTATTCTCGTTTATACGAAGGAGCTCTTTACCATTGTGTACAGCTGTAGAACCTTTTTTTTTTTTGAGTTTCATAATAAATGTCTTTTTAAAGTATGATTGGTTTTGATGCTGAAATTTCCATAATCAACTTACTTGTAGTTAATGATTCTGATCTCCTGATATTTCTACTCATTAAAGACACCAATTGGGCATTCTTAAGATGTTTATCTTATTTAATAAATATGCAAATCGAAAGAACTATAAATAGATAGCAATCATGACATCAATAAATAATACGTTCTTAAGATTTGGAAATGATGTTTTGTTTATACTAATACCCGATCTTGAGTACTGTGTATTAGTCTACCCAGATCGAGCATTTCGACTACGATTCAACCTAAGAATAAATAACTATCTTCAAAGCATAGGAAATCAATGACTGAAATATTAATCTTTTAGTTGACCACGTACACAGAGAATGCCAGATATTATCTAGGGAGATAACTCTTAACATAGAACGAGACTGAAGAATTATTTTGATATAATGAATGATTTTACGCAAAAAGTTTAAAAAAAAACATTTTGTCAAGTATATGATTTTCTGAATATTCAAGTATTGAATCGATATTCTCATAAAATTTCTTGATAATTATCGATAGATATCCCCTATACTATTTATTATTTTCTTTAAAGAAAAATCCCTCACCAACAATAAACAAAAAAGAAATTACTTTTTTTTATTCCTGTAAAAGGAAAATATAGAATAAATAAACAAGAGTCTTTTTGTTAATCCACAACTAAGAACGATGTGAATTGCCAATCTTCTCTAATTTTATCGTTTTTTGATGGCCAATCAGCTGATTTCGAAACCCATTGTCCCAAATATGGCATACAAATATCAAGAACTTCATCAACATCAATATCATCTGGTAAACATATTCCTTCATTCGGATGTTTAATACAATAATTAATAGCTGCAACAACACTTATAGCTACTTGTAATGTTGTTGCACTTTGTCCTGGTACTAATTTTCTTGCTTCATGAATATCAAGTACACTACCAGCCCACCAAGCTTGTACATAACGACCGCCAAGTAAAAGAACACCAACTTCATCAGCACCTTCAGTTATTTCATTATTTAATATACGAAGTTTTGATTGTAATTTATAATTATGCATACGAAATTCAACTAAAGAATTTATTGTGGAATCCGATGGTAAATATGCATAATGAACAGTTGGACGATATACAGCTGTTTTATTATTATCATCATTATTATTTTCATCATTATTATAAACTGTTAAATATTTTGAAATACCATATGCTTCACCATGTCTTATAACCATACCAATGATTTCACCACTTGGTACCCATGAACGAACCTAAATAACAATATTTATTTTAATTAAATAAATTAAAAAGAAAAATAAAAGAAGATGATTTACCCAAGTATTCATTCCTTTTGCAGCTAAACAAATTTGATTACATGGACCTTCTTTTTCATTATGAAAAAATGTTCCCTTTGGTATTATTTTTTCATGTGTTCCCCATCCCATTTCAGCTGGTGCAATACCTTCTTCACAAAGACCATCAATAGACCATGTATTAACAAATTCATTAACTTTTTTTGGATCTTTTGTTAATTGTGTATCACGTTCTGATATATGAATTGTTTTTATATCTAATAAATAAGCTAATTGAGGATAATTTCTTATTTCTAATGCATCCTGTAATTTAGATCGTTCATCAATGGAAATTAAATTTTTCTTTTCACCAAGTACATATTGTGCCATATCAATAAGTGCACGTTTAACAAAATGTGAAACAAGTCCTGGATTACAACCATGATCAAGTATAGCCGTGGGACCATTTCTATTCCACTGTGTATCATTTTGCATTTCAATTAATTGCATTTGTCGATGATACAATGTTAATAAACGTGGATCACTTTTATATGCCTCACCAAATGGTTCCCATAATTCAACAGATGTATTAACAAAGCATACTTTATGATCATGACACCATTTTAATAAACATCTTGTTTCAAGATTAACAGCAAGATCAAGAAGTATATCACCTTCTGATAAATATTTGCTTAAAATTTTTTCATAATTTTTTTCAGTTACTTCTTCTTGTTGATAAACAATTTGTTTATACCTTTTATGATATGGTTCAATTCTCGCCCGTTGATCGATTACATCGATAATTGTTATAGAATTGATTTGGTTTTTTAATAGAAAATAATCGATTAAAAGTGGCAATGTACATTGTGATACACTACCGTAACCAATAAGTAATAATCGACGAGCAGACGAGTCCACTTTGGATAAGAATATTTGAGAGGCTATTCTCGGGTGATAAATAAAAAAATAATAAAACGATTAAACGAAAAATGATTTGAAATGGCAGAGAATCGGTCCCTTTTAATAGCAAATTTTCAAGGAAATGGGAGTAAATATCAGCTGCTTTTCATTTCAACAATAATTGACTTCGTACTTTTCTAATAATAATATCATCAGTACATTTACAGTTCGATTTCTATCATGTGAATTCAATACAAATGTATAATATAGGCGTGAGCCCTTTTGTTTTTAACTCGCCGGGAAAATAGCAGCATATTGATCAGTCTATCATATTGATTTAAGTGGAAAAAAATTGAAAGATAAGAGAACATTCTCCTTTTTAATCTTAGATGAAAACACATCGAATTTACTTGATATTCATTCGAAAACTACATCAATACATTAAAAAAAACACTCTTTATCGATTAGTTGTTCTTCTCAATCAGAGACTATATGGAAGAAATGATAAATATTTTATTCAACATTCTTATTATAATTGTTATTGCTTATCATACACGGTTAAAAAAACCATGTGCAAAAGAAAAATCCTAATAAAAATTTGCCCATCGATTTTGTTCAGCTATTTTTCTACGCATCGAATATTTTCGACAGCAAGTGTCTTCGAAAAATAAGCCATCAAAAAAAAAAAACAGGTCGTTTTTATCTCACAATAATTACTAATAATCGTAGATTGATGAATGATTGCAAGGCGTAGTCAATATATGTACAATGAAATTATAATGATTTGATACGATATCAACTAAAAATACATACTGAATATTTGATAGATTTTTCAAATTTTGCCTTTTTTTTGCCTCAATGAAAAACTTTTATTTTATTCCGAAAGAAAAAACATGACAAATCATTGATTAGAGATAAAAAGTAACAAAAGACAAAGTTTAATCGAATCAATTTTATTTTATTTTATGTTGTTTTTCATGCCATAGATTCTTCTTTTGTTGTTATGATCGACTTTTGCTGAACAGTAGTTGCTAAGATGCTTCTGCATCGATTGTTTTTGCCATTAGAAAGAAAAATTGATCTCACATCAATTCACAGAACACAACAATAATAAAAAGCACATTGCTTTTCACTTCATCATTTCTCCAAATAATACTAACTGCAAGTGATGCGAAGAAAAATATTTCGTCTATTTACACAACTAGTTGTTTGAATTATCAAGACCCTCAAGTGAAACGTATGACTTTTAATAAAAAAAAAAACTTTCTTTTTTTTACGTTTACTTCTCATTACCTAATATTAACAAGGTAAATTTCGTTTTAAAAGATATCTTAAAAGTGTTTTCTTTTTTCTTTCTGATTTAAAAAAAAAAAATCTCACGCCTATTATGGATTCCACAAGTGACAGTTTAAAAACTCTTCCAACATCTGATCCATTAATAACATCGAAAAATAATCATATTAAAAGAACGAATACATTATTGAGCAAAACATTACACACGGAACACGATGTACAAAACTTAAATAAATTTATTTCAAATAGTCAAGCAAATTTTCCATCAGATGATTTCTTATCACAAACACAATTTGATATAACACCTGAAATAATAAATCAACTTAATCAAAATCAATCAAGTTTGCCACGTCGTCAACGTGTTAAATGGGTTGCATGCCATACATCATTGCATAATTCATTAAATTTTCAAACAACTTCATTAAATGATTTTCAAACAAGATCTATGGCTGATACAAATATAAAACACGATACTCAAATAAATCCAGCTGTTTCAATACCTAATATAACCATAAAAGAATTTGATGATGAATATCAAAATTATATTGAAAAAATTTATCAAGAAGATATGGATCAAACATTAAAATATACAAATACATTTGTTTTAACATCAGAAGATGAAGAAGAAGATAATAATATTATTATTATGAGTGAAGATAATGATCAAGAACTATTAGATAATATAAAAAATTTTGCTGATCAAGAAAGTCAAGCTGTCTTAGTGGAATCAAAATCAAAGAAAAAACCTAAATCTCCTCGTCGTAGAAAAACAATATCAAGTCCAAGGCGTGCGAAACAAACAAATGCTTTACCAAATTCACCATCAATGTTATTATCATCAGCATCACCAAATCAAGTAACTCCAAATAGTGATTTAACAACATTAACAACTCCAATAAAAGTATCAGCATCAGTTGCAAAAGCCGAAGAAAATAATGGAGTTAAAAGTTTAATAACAGTAGATACAAGTAAAGCACGATCAAATCTTCAAGTTGTTCGTTTATGTTTACGAGAACTTGGATGGAAAGAAGTAAGTATATTGAAAAGAATTGATCTTGTTTCCATGTCAACCGAAAAATGTTAGGAACTTAAAAGTAGAAATCTATTAAATGGATTTTTTCAGTTTGAAACGACATCATTTCAACGAATACTCATCGGAAATCTATTGATTCAGGTGTCGAAAGTATTGACATAATTTTTATTATGTTTGTAGTGTTCACATAGTACAACTCTTGATTCCGATATTTATTGGCATTCATCATCATTTCATGAAGGAAATACAAATTCTACATTTAGTTCCGGACGTATTAATAAATTTCCTGGTATGTTATACATTTCAAAAAAAATTACCTAATATAATTATTAATATAAAGTCTTTTTTTTTTACGAAGCATAGGTATGAGTGATCTATTACGTAAAGTTCATTTAACTCGTCTCTTAAATAATATGAGATTATTATTTCCAAATGATTATGATTTTTATCCTAAAACATGGTTTCTTCCTGAACAAAGTCAACAATTTAAAGATGATGTACGTTATATACATCAATTAGATAAAAAACATAATCGTTCATTAACGACATTTATTGTTAAACCATCAGGTATACTCTTTCAAAAAAAAAAGAAAGTTCCGCTTTTCTATAAATGTTACTTTTTTTTTGTTTTTAGATGGTTCACAAGGTGAAGGTATTTATTTACTTCGAGATCCATCTCATATTATGACCACTAATCGTCCACATGTTATTCAAGGTTTTATTATTTAAAACAAAATGAATTCAATTTTTAAAAAATATTTTATTATTAATTTTTTAGAATATATTGATAAACCATTATTAATAAATGGTCTTAAATTTGATTTACGTATTTATGTTCTTATACTTAATTTATATCCGTTAGAAATTTATCTATATGATGAAGGACTTGCTCGTTTTGCTACAGTTGATTATAAAGCTCCATCAAGTGAAAATCTTCATGAAACATTTATGCATTTAACAAATTATTCTTTAAATAAACGAAGTGCTAGTTACAAACATCCTGTCGATGATAAACAAATGGATGGTAGTAAACGTAAATTAAGTCTTGTTTGGAAACAACTATGTGAGATGTTTAGTAAAGAGAAAGTCGAACGAACAAAAAGTTTAATAGTAGAAATGATTAATAAAACAATATTAGCTATTTTACCTGAACTTCGTGTTACATATGAATTTGAATTACCATTAGGAAAAAAACAAAATCTATCTTGTTTTCAGGTAAAATAAAATCAGATTTGATATACATGTGTTTCTTTTTAAATAGATTATTGGTTTTGATGTAATACTTAATGATCACTTAAAACCAATTTTACTTGAAGTCAATTCAAATCCTTCACTTAGAATTGACTTCGATAAAAATGAAGCAGGTAAAATTACAAAACCTATCATTTTAACTTTGAGATCACTAATTTCGACGGAAGTTTCGGAAGACGGTATGAACTTGAAAGTAGGAATATCTTGATCGAGCCCAGCGCCTGGCTTTTCTCGATTCTGATCGTTTCCGATCAATATCGTCGAAGTTCTTACCATTTCCCGGAGTTTGCGTATCGGAACTAATTGTCGATCATTTACCTGAGCTTCTAAATGAAATATTTATAGGAAGAATTGTATATCAACCAAGTCCAATCGATGAAGAAATTAAAAAACCTTTAGTTCTTGAAACTCTCAAAATGGCATTACCTAAAAAAAAGTTAGATACAATGTAAGAAAATCAATTTATTTTCTGTTTCTAAAGATTAATCAACTCTAATTTAGTACACGTCATGCTCAAATTCAAGCTAATGATGAAATCATGGCTCAACGTGTTGAAAAAGTAGCACAACGTCGTGTTGAAGAACGGAATGAAAAAATAAAGAGTGCACGAAAAACTCGTTTTGATATGAAATTAAATCCATTTTTTTCACGACCATTAGATAGTATAGCAAAAGAATTTGTTCGTCACCAACACGGACAACAACAATTTGAACAACAGAAACTTCATAACGCTACTCCAACACGTCCAATTGTTTTATCTCAATCACATGAAGATTTAACAGCATATACATTTATTAATCATAATCATCATCATGAACCGGTCAAATCCTATAGAAAAATTATTAAAAAATCCAAACAATATCGTTATTCTACTGATGATGAAGATGATGATGAAAGTGCTTCACCACCAACAACAACAGTAAGTGATAATCATCCATCAACAGCTACAAAACATTCTTCGATTAAATCTCCATTAAATCGTTCGGGAACAACCATAGATGCAGCTATGATTAAATCAATAAATACATTAAAACTTATTTTTCCATCGGATCATCACAAATCAAAATATCGACAATTATTTTTAGTTGATAATATAGCTTATATTTATATTCATCTTGTTGTTACGTTAGGATATAAAACAATGACTGGTGGACAATTTCGTAGTTTTGCTAAGTAAATTGAATATATTTGTAATAAACATATAGATATTTATTTTTAATTATTATATAGTATATGTGGAATTATTAATGAAACAATAACAGCACCATCAATTGATATACTTTATTATCAAATACTTAGAAAATGGCAACAATTTGTTGCAAGAACAACTTTAACAGGTAAAAGTAATCAACCTTAATGACTTTAAACTGCTTGTTGGTACTAAATTAGTAGGTTTGACGTTGAGTAAACCATTGGAATAGCTTATACAGGTTCTAATTATAACATCAATATGGTTTAGACATGCACCGAACCCGAACAATGGTGTTCGATCTTGAATGCAGTCATCTTCAGTTAATTAAATAAACCAAAAGAAAGCCTCTCATAGTTGGCTATAATAAGCCTACAGACAATAGAAGCTCTTGGGTTGATCCTATCTCTAGGTCCAAAAATTTTGGACACCAAGGACTTTAACAGATAATGAAATAAATGATCCAAAAACTGAAAAGCCATAGAATTTGTGAAAAAAAAAAATGGTTTGTGATGTTCGAAAATATGCAAATTACACTTAAAGGCACGCATGAGCACTTCCATAACCATTAATATGCTTCAAGAATTGTTTGAAAAACTACATCATACTCGATGCGACCTGAACTTCACACTGGGATTCGTGTTCACTGCAAGCCTAGCATGATTAAATTTGAGTAATGTCATTTTATTGTGAAGATGCTAAATGGATCATAAATTACCTATTTATCTTGAATGGATTAAAAATCCAATATGATCTGACGCTTTTTTACATTTATTTATCTATATAGAGCTATAAATCTACTTATCATGAGTTTTTCTTTTAAGAAAAGAGTCACTTCTAAGGATGAAATATATTTAGGTATTTGCAAAAGCGGCTACTTTTAGATATTCTGATCTCGACTCATAATTACTCATTTCTAGGGTTAAGATTGTCTCATCTAGATGAACGATCATAGAAAAAGTTGCAGATTTCTATCTTTTATTGATAAGAAATTATTTTAAAATGGTTATGAAATACTTTTCGACCGATTATGAGTTGTAATAATGGTTGTAGCATGAAGAGTGTGCTATTTATAAATATACATTGTAAATATAATCATTTTTAATATTACTCACTATGAATAACCCAACAGGGGATAAAAAGTTAATACGTATCATTGAAAAAAGAAAGAAAATATTGATTGCAATCTAATAATAGAATGTTGAAAAGAATTGTTTTCTTTTAAATGATATTTCTGTATTATTTATATCAAATGTTTATATCTTCTAGGATTACCATTTGCAGCATTTATTGAAGCATTTTTTCTTTTATCACAACGAAAATTTCCCAATGCTCAGAATTTATTTGATAGTGTTGATCAATTATTAAATATTTGTATTCGTCATTTAACTTCTGCTTTACAACGTCCAACATCTCCATTAATTCATCAATCAAATCAATATCTTCTTCATCGTTCTGCTAGAAATCATAATACACCAAATTCTTCATTAGTAAATATGCGTTCAAGTGTTGGCTTGGTTCGTT